TCCCCCTCCTCCTCTTCCTCCTCCTCCTCCTCCTCCTCCTCCTCCTCCTCCTCCTCCTCATAAAACAGCCTTGAAATAAAGGCTCCGTGTGACACTGAATCTGTTAAAACACCGTTTATGTCAGGGAGGTTGGGTCTAGATGGAGGAATCAGATGTGGAAAAACAAGGTCTATTGTAACAAAAAACACTCATGAAGAGTAAATGTCCAGACAAAGTTCAAATCAAGACTGTGGAAAACTGTGAGCAAAGTATCAAAGCAACAAGGAAACAAGACTGTGGCAAAGTATCAAATCATGATTAACAAAACTGTGACAAAACATGGCTGTGACGAAAACTGTGGCTATGGAACAAAAACATGACTATGGCAATAAAATAAACAAAGCTGTGAGAAAATCAAACGTGATGTGGGGGTGATGAAAGACAACAGACGAAAGACGCAAAAGACGCAACAAGAAGGACGAAAACGCACTGGCCCAGGACATGGGAAACGAGGACTATTTAAACACATGAGGGAGGGGAACCCCAGGTGTAAACAATAGGTAATCAAGACATGACAACACACCAGACATTCCCCCAGACGTGACAGTTTACATTCAAATAACACACAGAAAACGACTGCAAGTGTCCAGAAAAATCTATTAAATCCAACATTTTACGACAATTTAATGCTAACATTTGTGTGTATAGTGTGAAGAAAAGCCTCCTTTTGCTTTATTTATGCTTATTTCAATAAAGTATCTATCTATCTATCTATCTATCTATCTATCTATCTATCTATCTATTTTTTAGATAAATACCAACTAAACCTGTATTTAAACTCCCGATTTGAGCCATTAATGAGTTAAAGTGATGCATAAAAGTCCAAATTACTGCTCAAAATGTGGAGTTGGACTTAAGGAAGCGAGAAAAAAGAGGAAGTTGGGGTTTAATTAGGCGTGTTGAGGCATAAACATCCAGAGAAGTGATGCAAAACGAGGCGTAAACAACAGTGGAATAAGACATTACCTCACAATTCCAGGAACAAGGAGCAGGAATCTGATCGATATTGGACGATGTTTGAATCAGAGGAAGAACAAAAGGAACTGGAGGCTTTTCCACAGCAGTTTCCTGCTCATAAATC